TAATCCGTCAAAACCAAAAATGGCTGGCCAGAATGTGTTGGTGCGGGGATGGCACCTCGAACCAAAGCAATCCACTTGCAACAGATCCAGCTGCTACCTGACATAAAACCAGCAAACTATGAATACACTAGCTACGCATAAAGATGAGATTTGTTGAGCTCCCGTTGTCGTCAGGGGATCACGGGACCACACCAGCGAGGCAAACAAAGTAACACCAAATGACTTTGGCAAGAGCCAGAAACAAAGGCCAACGCCATCTGTGACATTGTTCGCCAAGAGACCGATTGCGTAATTGCTTCAGCACACGCTTTTTGGGTGACAGTTCTCTTGATACAGCGACACGAGTCGCCAGAGCCACAATACAAATCAACAAGTTGGAGTTACAAGCTTCCAAAAGGGTCTCCTTAAAGGTCCCTCAAAATTTCGGTTCTTATTCGGCAAAAATTCGGTCCCTATTTTCCAAAAGTTGGTCCTTGCCAGCCCCCGGATATTTGAAAATAAGGACAAAATGTTTGATGGAAAATAAGGACAAAATATTGCCATACCGTTGGGAAATAAACATTTTGTCCTTATTTTCTCGCAAAATGTTGTCCTTATTTTGGAAAAATTTGTCCTTATCGGGGGCCGGATAAGGACAAATTTTTTGCCAGATTTGACAAAAATCTGCGGGGCCGAACGCATCAAGCAGCCAGTTTCACTCCCTGGCGCAAATGGTGCGTGACACATGCAGACATGCAGCTGTACAAGGCTGGCTCCTGAATTTCAATTCATGATCTGAGTTTCATTCCCACTGAGACCTTGAGTTCTCGGGCTGATTTCGAATGCTGCTCTGAAGAGCAAGTGTGAGCAGTACTTACCCACTGGATAAGCAAGTCAGAGTGCGCTGCAGAGCTCAGCCAACAAAAGCACTTCCTATGCTTTTTGCATTGGGCCTTGAAAGATTCAGCGCCGGCTGAGCTTACCAGCAATCTGATGTCCCCCAAAGTGTCAACCTTGCTGTTGAGCTGCCGCTGCACCTCAACGACAACAGTCCCACGCTTGAAATGTTGAGCCTGAATCACCGCACCGTCTTCCTCAACACGCAGCGCTACACATCTGGGCTTGCTTGCAGCGGCAACTTCAGCAGGAGCAGGCAATTCTGCTGGCCCAGGCTGAATTTGCTTCCGCTTCGTCTCCTCAATTCTGTGAGGGGTTTGGGCGAGGGGTAAGTTAGTTTGACGGCAGAAGAGGAGCTCAGACCCACCCAACCTACACATGGAGGAGACTAGTCCAGTGTGAAAAAACCAGCGTTGATTTGATGGATTGTCCGCCCCCGAACAGGAAAAGTCATGAAATTATGGGTCTTGCAGGCTCCCCTTGCACTTCTATTGATTCCCTCCGGCGCGAGACTGTCTTCCTCCTTCCTAAACCGCAGACCCGAAAAATCGAACCCTGCTCCACGATGCGTCCAGAGTCTTACTGCTGCCATACTTTAGAGACCGCTCTGTACATCCAAAACGTGTCTGATTCAACCCCCCGCCCAAACCGCGAATTCGAACGGACCTTTGGTAGGGCTGGAAGAGGCGCTCGAACAAGTCTTGCAGCGCAGCCAGCCCAACCTTTTTTTTTACAAACTTGAAAAAGTTTGGTTCCTGTCAAAACCAACGCCACTAATCACTAACCTGATAGAAACAGTTACGCGTCTTTTTTCCTCGGCGGTTTTTCCAACTTCATGGGCCAGCAGGTTGCCTGGTTGCCCAGGCGCGACGAGCAGGCAAAAGCGAACTGGCGATGCTACAGACCCCGCCCAGCAACCCCAGCGGGCAAAAGTTGGCAATGCTAAGACCCCCTCCAAGGCAAAGGCCAACTAGCGACACCCCCGCAACCCTGCGCGGAACTGGCGATGCTACAGACCCCGGCAACATGCCGGGGGCGATAAAAGCAGGCAAACGCCAGCTGGAAATGCTCGCGTCCAAAAGCAGGCTGGCGACACCCCCGCAATCTTCAAACCGAACTGGCGCTGCTACAGACCCCGACAGCTTGCCGGGTGCTACAAGCAGGAAAAAGCCGGCTAGCGACGCTAAAGTTCCTGCAAAGGTGATCTAGCGATGCTAGTAACGCTAAAAAGAATAATATACTATGTATATACACACGTTTACAGATATACATACACACCTCTTGTATTACATCCTACTATGTGATATATATATAACAATAATAATCATAATAATATATATATATACATATACGTGTACAAAATAAGTTATGTTGCGACCACGGTTGGGACCTCAAGCCACCTCCTCAAAACGCTGGCGTTCCTTTCAGACGTTTGAAAAAAGGAAGCGGCCATACTAGATTTCAAGATTTCAACTCGCGCAATAATGTGGCATTGTCAATGCCTCACTCCCATCCCCAACATTGCACCCCAAAACAGAAACCTGATTTGCTTGCCCCCCCCGTCCCCGGCAAACAGAAAGATGGTTTTGCTTGGAATGTCTCGCCCGCCTTGGAACACCCAAAGCCCCAAAGCAAAACACTCCCTGCAAAAAGACCAGCTGATTCAAATCAGCACACATAAAACCAAAACGGCTTGGGGGTCTTTGAGGGGTGAGTTGCGGGGTACACGCAATGCTGCAACCCGGGGTTTGGTCACCCCGTTCTTTCCCCTGAGTTTTCTTGAATTGGAAGCCTCTGCGACGCTGGCGTCAACCAAGTCCAGCTCCTCATCACGCTCGCCGGCATCGCTGCCTGTGTCGCTGATTTCACCGCTGGCGGCGGCTTCATCTGCTGCACACTTCGCGCTTGCAGCCCCAGAGCATATCTCGCGAGCATTCTTCAACTGGCGAACACAATCTTGCCCAATTGCTGCAATCAAGTTGGGGTCTTCAAGAATGTCATGCATTGGGCTGCCCTCGCACGAAGCTGCTGCTTGCTCCGGCTGCAAATCTACTTCAGCAGGCAGGGTGGGCACACGTGTGCGGCGCGCGGTGTCCGTCCGGCGCTTTTTTGAAGCTGTTTGTTCGTCGCCGGCCTTCTCTTCCAACAGGGACATGAAATCAAAGGCTCCAGCAAACAAATCCAAGCCATCGTCAGCAGCATGCTCTGCAGAAACCATCTCGTCACCGTCGCGATCTTGGTCGTCAAGCGCTACCAAACCGTCTGCCCCTGTAAACACACCAGAGCTGGTTATGACAAGCGGTTCAAAATGCGGGTCCACTCCAGAAATCCTGACCTGGCATGGCCACAGGTCCTCGTACAACAGCTTGCTGATAACAACTCTGCAAATATCCGAATCATCTCTGGCATTATCTGCTGAGGCTAGCATGTCCAGAAGGTGGCGACAAAAGGAATCAGAGGTTGAAAATTTTACCGACCCCACTTCCAGCGGCTGGCGTGGCAGACGCTCATGACCAAGAGTCTGAGGCTCAAAGGGTAATGTGCACAACTCCAACAACAAACCATCAAACCTGCAACGTGGATCTGGGCCAGGTTCAGACGCCAGAGTTTTCACAACTCTCCAATGCGCAAGCGCACACGAAGGCGGGTGGGTGGAAGACCGGTAAGACGGCGCGGTCAAGGACGCAATCAAGGTCTCAATATGCCCGGACTTGTCAGCCACTTCGAAAGCGCAAATGATGTCTGCTCTCACCGCATCCATGACACTGCCATGTCTGCAAATGCACTGGTGCAAAGCCTTTTGCAAGTGGCAATGGAAAACCACACGCTCACAGTCTGCAAAGTGCCTGCATTGTTCTCCGCAGCAAGGTTCATAAACTACCCGTTTAGAAACTCTTCACTGCTTGAAGCAGGCCGGGCAATTCGCTCCATTTCCGTTTTGAACTTATCCACTGCCTTCTTGAAAGTGTGCCCAGCCCTTTGCTGCGCTTTCCACGCTGCTTCCAACGAGGCCTCTGTCAAAGGGCGGCGTGCTTTGCCAAAAGCTGACACGCTCTTGGCGGACACACTTGAGACCGTGTCCTGCACAGTCTCAAACTCGACTAGTCTAGACAAAGGCAATGTCAAGGCATTGTTCGGCACTGCGGCAGGGCTTGCATCTGTGCCACGAGCACTTTGGGTGGAGCTGAGGCCAGAGGCGCAAATCTTAGGGCGATTGCCTGACACCTTTCGCAGCCGCTCCTTCTTCTGCCTCCTTTGCTGCAAAGAATCACTGCGAGACGCTGCAGCCATGGAGCTGTACACAGCCCGCTGCTCACTAGACAACGCGTTGTACGCATGCCTCACTTCCAGCCACGATTCCTTCGTGCATGCGCGGACCCTGCCGAGACGTGCTTGCCTTCTCAGAAAGTCCCGCCGAAACAGTTCCAAAGCAGAAGAAGCCTTGGCGCGCTTCATCCTGCAATGTGTCCGCACAGTGGTGGCTGAACGGCTAGATGAAACAATCTGATCCTCTCCAGCTGTAGCCCGGGCTTGCGAGTGAGACGCTGCCTCTACTGTTGCCCTTGCAGCTTCATGATTAACGAACTTGGCTGCAATGCTATAGAAAGCGCTTTCAGAGTATTGCCTGTTCTGAGCGTGCATGCTTTCTACATCAGCCATACTAAGTTGCAACGAAGCTGCTGTCCAATAAAGCACCTGCTTCCAGTTTGGCTGCTGTAAATCTGCCGATTTTGAGAAAATACGGGGAGCATTTAAAGAAAATAAGCGTTTTAGAAAGGGGTAATATTTCAAGAACATAAGAGTAACAATTAGATAAAAATAAGGTGAACATCAGAGAAAATAAGAGTACCATTTAGAGAAAATACGAGTAACTTCTAGAGAAAATAAGCGCAAACTTGAAGAACATAAGAGTAAAATTTAGAGAAAGTAAGAGCAAAATTTAAAAACACACGTGTAACCAATTGAAAAAATAAGAGTAACATTTGGAAAAAACACAGAGTAAATGTTATGGAAAATAAGGGCAAAATACAGGTGTAAAGAGACCCCCTCCAAACGTGATAGAGCAAGTCGATACAATATGTACTCAGCTTTCACGGGCCAAGGGAGCCCTGTTTGACTTCGAGGCATGCGGCCGTGCCGCTGCGCACCAAAATTCCGGTGGCCTTGGCAGCCCTCGAGGCGGAGCCGGCGGCGGCGCGCTTCGTGCCGCGGCAGCTGCTGGATGACCGGAACTTCGTGACCGCGGGTGGCGGCGGGTGGCTGGGGGTGGCAGGGGGTGGTTGACCCCCCCCAAGTGAGGTTTAATGTTGGTGGGTGGGAGGGCAAGTTCATGGTTGTGGTTGGGAGACATGTTGCTTAGTTTTGCTTGTTGTGGTTTTAGTGGTTGGAATCCGACCACTGAACTGCTGAGATTTGAATGCTTGCTCCCCGTTTAACGTCAACCAAGATTCTTGAAGGGAAGGGGTGGCTGTGGGTCAAAACCACTGGGATGCCATTTTGGGGTATGCGCCGCCCATTTTCTATTTTAGTGGGGGTAAAGGGGTGGTCGGTTTTTGGAGCCCGTTTCAGGCTTCTAGGATCTTTTGGAAATTGGTTTTAAGGGAAATCAACAGGAAATGAGGGGGTGGGGCTGGGGGTGGGGTGGCGTCCCCATGAAAGGGTTTGGCTTCCCTATTTTGAGACATAGTAGTTGGAGGGGAGCCGGACACGGAGCTGGTGGGTATATTTTTGGAGGCAAACCCAACTCAGTTTCTAACAGGAACCCAAAACCAGCGGCATCCAACGCAAACCAATCCCAGAACCGCTGCCAGCCGTGCAAAACAATGCTGTAAACGCCGCGTCTTGGGACAAGCCCTGAAAGGGGGTCTGCACGGGTGGCTCCCGTAGAAGTTTGCCATCTTTGCAGAGTGTGTGTGTGTGGCCAGCCATACGTGCGGCGCCTAATGATTTCAAAACTGGCGCGGCGTCATCGAGAAAGATACCCATCTTGAAGCAATCAAGTTAGCACTCTGGGTGTTCTTTGGGCTCGCGGGCATGCACGGAATTTGGTTTTGCAACATTTCCTGGATGCCCTGATGCCCTGATTCACATACCTGGCACTTGTGGCCTTTTTTTAACGTGCGGCTGATGGCGCCGTCAGAGGATCTCAGCAGCACCTTTGACCCGGCGGATCTTCGAGAAGGCGTCCTTTAGGCTGAAGCGCGACTTGGACGTGGTGCTGGAGGTGGTCGCGCCTTTGCAAGAGAAGCGCATCTCACCCAAGACCGTTCGCTGTTTTGTTTTTAAGCGAGAAGCAGAGCTCGCCCGAGACCAGTCGCAAAAGTCAAGCAGGGTCATGCTGCCTTTCAGATCCTTTCAGCTCCTATGGCTCACTTGCTGCAGCAAGTGCAAGTGCAGAGCCAGGGCCTCAAGGAATTGGTGGTCCCGTGTTTCCAGCCCAACAAGCTGCTGTTTGTCCTCTCTTTTGGTGTCCCCAAAAGTCAAGTGAAGGAATCGGTCTCTGTTGTCGCCTGCAAACAAAGAATATATGCTCAGGTGGCACCAACAGCCCAAAAAGAGCTGGAACCCTCCGGAACCTGCCCTGAAAGCCCCACCCCTTATCATCTATTTGGGCCCATCGGCCAAATCCGTAGCGTTTAGCTGTTGGGACAGAAAATTGAACCGTTTGGGAGATTCCCTTAAAGGTAGCCGAATCGGGCAAGGATTTTCCCCGGGCTCATTCCATTTCTCATTCCCTATCAAACCTGCAAGCAAAACGCCGGAAAAAAAAGAACATCAACTCCCATCCCAACCCGCTCTTTTTTGAAAGCAAGCTTCCAGCTTTCGCTTTCGCTTCCCTTCGCTTTTGCTTCCTTTCGCTCCCGCGTTCGCTCCCACGTTCGCTCCCTTTCGTTTGCGTTTGGCTTGCACGCCCGGAAGCGGCCGCGGCTGGCGGAAGCGGCCGCTTCCGCTTGAGGAGCACGACGCGGACAGCTTCATGTATGCGGCCTGGGAGCTGCGCTGCGACCGGAGCGCCGTGAAGGCCGTGGTGAGCACCGCGGGCTGCGCCATCGCGCACGCCTCCCCGGAGCTGCGCCAGGCCCGCGCCGAAGTGGTTCGTTAAGTCTGGTGAAGTGATGAAGTGATGAAAAATCCTTGAAATGAAGCGGCATTGTTAGTCGGATCCTTAAGCCTGGTGAAACAACCCACAAAAGCCATGGTGATAAGTCTCCGTTCGGTGGGTTATAACTAGGCTTGCTAACCACTTACGAAGTACCCCGCCACTTTCAGTCCCGGGTACTTCTGTGTGTTTCTCAGATTCGCGAAGAGAAACCCACAACAAATGCTGACAGTCACCCAGAAACACCTGGGATTGCAGGAAGTGTCTCGAAAGATGGTTGGTTTTTCCTGGAATGGTTTCCTTTTGGCTTCCCTCTGAATGTGAGTTGCGCGCAACCACCCAAGCACGCGTTATGTTCATGTTCCACAATGTGCAAATAGTACCCTCAAACACAAACGCACGCGGAGACTCAGGCCCAATCACACAATCCCACACGCACAAACTTACAATCACACCAACACACCAACACACACACAGACAGACAAACGCAGACGCACGCAAACACAAACACTCAAACACAGAATCCCAGAAATACAATCACACCTACACACACACACCTACACACACCTACACACAATTCCACACACCTACACACACACACACACCTACACACACCTACACACACCTACACACACCTACACACACCTACGCACACCTACACACACCTACGCACACCTACACACACCTACACACACCTACACACACACCTACACACACCTACACACACCTACACACACCTACACACACCTACACACACCTACACACACCTACACACACCTACACACACCTACACACACCAACACACACCTACACACACCTACACACACCTACACACACCTACACACACCTACACACACCTACACACACCTACACACACCTACGCACACCTACACACACCTACACACACCTACGCACACCTACACACACTACACACATCTACACACACCTACACACACCTACACACACCTACACACACCTACACACACCTACACACACCTACACACACCTACACACACCTACACACACCTACACACACCTACACACACCTACGCACACCTACACACACCTACGCACACCTACTGGAGGATGATTGTAAGAGAGGTTGGATGCATTCTTCAAGTGATTTCGGGTCCCCGCAGGACCCAGAGATTCTGGCAGTTCCTGGCTCAGCTCGGCTGACAAAACGTCTGTGGGTGAGGGAAAGGAGTTTGAGAAACCAGCTGTTTGGTAAATTTGGCGTGATCTCCGCTGGGATTTGTCAGATCCATAGCCTGATCCTTGCAGTGCTTGGCAGGTTGTTTTGTTGCCAGTTTGGACAGTGACCTAGCAGAGTAGTGTAGCAAGGATTCGTCAGGAGACGTTGGGTGCACGCCAAGGTCGCCATGGCAAATGACCCTATGGCCAAAGCAGCGGCACAGATTGGCTGAGCCGACAAAGGGTTGACGCAGACCGTGGCGCAAAGCTGCCGTTCACTGTGTGCAAATTGGTTTGCTTCTGGGATCTCCTGCTGTGTGTGATTGAGCAGCTTCAGGCGAGCCAGCTGCGAAAACAGAGCTTTCTCGCATCCTCGCAAGCACGCTGTGTGTTTGAGCCACCCTCCCACCACTTAACCTGGAACCTTACAGGGGGTCCCTTTCAAAGGAGCCCCCGAAAAGTCAGGTTCCATGTTGGGGGGTCCATTTAAAAGGAGACCGAAAAAGTCGAAAAAGTCAGGTTCCATGTTAGTTGGTGGGAGAGGGGGTTTCTTTAAAAGGAGCCCGTGAAAAGTCAGGTTCCATGTTAGTTGGTGGGAGAGGGGGTTTCTTTAAAAGGAGCCCGTGAAAAGTCAGGTTCCATGTTAGTTGGTGGGAGAGGGGGGTTCCATGTGAATTGGTGGGAGGGCAGCTGATTGACCCGATTGTACCCAGCTGTTCCGGCCCAAGCTGTTAGGCCGGGCTCATGGGCCCATCACTTCGCAAGCGAGTGACTCGATGTGCGCGGATGGCAGTCAGCAAGACGAAGCGCATGGCAGCCTAAGCACATAATTGTTGTTCACATCGCAAAACAAAACAAACAAAAAACTGGACGTAATTCTCTGATCGCCGAAAAGGCTGGACACAAGCTTGGTGACTGGCAGCCTGAGCACATACTTCAGATCGCTAAAAAAAGCAAGAAGCTCGGCGAGCTTCAAGGCACCTTGACGCGAGAGACTTCCGGAGCGATGAGTCCTCCGGTCCAGGCCAGGGCGATTCGACTGGGATGGCAAGCGCTCGCGCGTATCAAAATACGCCTTCAGCGCTGCCCATGGGGGTTCCTCAAAATGATCTTGGGTTTCCAGAAGGCCCGAAACAGGTACCCTGAACAAAGCTCAGGCGATATCCACAGCACCCTCCCAGAATCCTCCCAGAGCCCTGGTGGAACCCTGGTGGAACCTTACCTCAGGGCCGCCCCGGACTACCCCGGAGCCTATTGGGGCTGAGACCCCAAAGCTTTCAGCTGTTGGTGAAAAAGAACCTTTCGTGTTTCTTTCAATTGAGACCTGCTGTTTCGCACGGGCTTGCATTTGCTGCCGATACAAGCGGCTGCAAGCACATACTAATTAAACATCCAATCGCCTGCGTGCGGTATAGGCATGTTGAAAGGCACGGAACAAATATGTTTATTCACCGCGTATTACATGTATCGCCAGCATGTTGCATGGGTTCCAGATATATCCTCAAGAGTCGTGCAACCTTGCACCTACCTTGCCATCCTCAGGAGCTTCTCCCACGCTTCTTCCTACTTTAGGCATAATTCCAAGTAGCCGTTGCCAAAGCTTGTAGCCAGATTTCCACCTTTTGACTTGCCCCAGTAGGCTTAAACCCAAGGGTTCATTCCCCCCAACAGGAGAGCCCTTGCGTTTAAGTCTCTCTTGGGGTGGTCAAAAAATGGAACCCTTGCAGCGGCATAGCTGGCATCGAGCAAAGCTGCCGCGGTGCGGCCTATGCGTCAGGAGGAGCTGAATGGGGACACTGCTTACGCCAGGCTCTCAGAACAAGGAGGCGACATGATGGATCTTGGCACGCAAGAACACCAGCCCCAAACCTCATCGCATGTCAGTTTCACATTGAGTTGGCTTGTCGGAAAGGCATTGGGCTGATGTGCACATTGCTTTCCGGGGGCTCGCATCTCGCGGCAGCTTGAGACAAAGATCCCACGACTTGGCGTTCAGCGGATCGAGGTGTCGCTTCTCCATGGAGACCGTGGGGGACTTAGATGCGACTCCGGAGAAGGCTGTGTCGTGTTTTGTGAGTTGGTTCCAATTGTGTTGCTTGGGGAACCAAATGAAAATTCAACCAAGCGTTTATTTCGTGCCCCCCCCCCCCCCCCGATTTTTCGACTTATACCCACGACATGTTCGTGGCATGGCATGTGAGCCTGTCCGCAAGTTGTCTCAGTTCGATCCTCCGCATTGCCCAGGTGTGGAATTTTGGCTCTACGCACTGATGCATTGGCCCTGGGGGCATTTTGCAGTTTCAAAGTCAGACCCTTTGCCAGAGTCCTGCAGAGGGCGTCGTGAGCTACATGTGTCGAGTCGAGCACCATCAGCAGGGAGCCAGACCCAGAGCTACCGATCGGAGTTCTGGTTGAGGCCATGCTGGGTGGGCTCGTTTTGTGGAACCCACTTTAGGCTGGGGTGAAGGTAATCCTTCAGTCCTTGGGTTGTAAACCCAAGGGGTGATCCCTTTGCATTGGCTTCCCTATAGTTCTGGTTAGGGACATGTCCCAACTGGTTTGGAGCCTCCGGTTTGGTGGTTTTCTGGAGTTCCCATGTAGCTTCAAGCTCCTTCAAGGACTAGGGGCCCAAATCCCAAACCACGGGAAGCTGCTATTGGGTTGGATCTTTAGACTTTAGACTTTATCTTGTTGGATTCCCCTCATATTTCCTTTTCACCAGGATTTTGTTTGCTTTTTTTTTTTTCAGGGGTATCTGCAGCACTCAAGTTATAGGGAACTGAATGGATCAGGAAGGCTCCCCACATAACGCGCCGCCGACTTCCATGGCTCCAGCCTCGTCGTTTGTGGCGGTTGCCAGCCCAGGGCGGTGGCCGCGTGAAGGCGGCTGGGGGCATTTTTTGGCTCGGAGTCACGCAAACTCAAGTGACTCAGTTGTTCAAAGCCGACCTGTGGACCTTTTGGTTTTCCCATTTTGGTCCATATTTAGTCATGGCCCCAAAAGGTTAACCTTTTAGTTCCAGGTCCTTTGGGCAACTGAGGTGAGCCACGTGCTCAAAACCGATTCGGGTAGATGAAGGTTAAGGGACAATCCCCTTGCCATAAATAGCTGCGGATATCTGCCTTCTTAATTCTTGAAGCATGGTTCTGGGTAGACCATGTTCATTCTGGGTTTTGATTGTGACTCAAGTTGTTGTTCGCAAAGCGTGAGGGTTGTTTGGATGCAAAGCTTGTCAAGGGCAAGCCTTCAATTGTACCAGCATAGACCCCTGAGAGCGAAAACCTCTAAGAGCACTGCCCGAAGAGCACCTCAACCAACACCCCAACAGAATCCCAACATAGCACCTGCACAAGAATCCTCAAATTGTATGCCCCCTACCCTGCCGTCACCAGGCCCCCCAAAACAGCACCTGCACCAGCCGTCAATCTGACAAACACGCGCCCGCGCCCGTCACCAGCCCCTCTCACCAGCACCCCAAACTGCATGCCCCCTAGCACCCTGCCATCAATCGCGAAAGTGCGCCCGCACCATCACTGAACAGCGCCCCCAAACAGCACTTCCAGAGCATGCACTCCAGCGTCGATCTTGCAAAAGTTTCAAAAGTGCGCCCGCACCGTCACCTTCATGCCCCCTAGCACCCTGACGTCAATCAAAAAAACATGCGCCCGCACTATCACCAGCAGCTGGAACAGCACCCCAAACAGTACCTACACCAGCACCTCAAACTGTACGCCCTCTATCACCCAGACGATCCCAGACGTCAATCTCGCAAATCATTTTTCCTTCTCTATTAGAAGTTGGAACCCTTATAGGTTTCAGCTGTCTGGGGAAAAGCCAGACTACATGCATCAGCGTGGTTAGCAAAGCCTTTAAAATGCCGAAGCAACAAACGCCTGAAGCAGCGAGAGTCAAAATACGAGTGGCAAGCTGGAACGCTGGACGTGACATGGGGCAGGAGTTGGAGGCAGTAACAGGCGGTCAATTCAATGCAGCTCAATAGTGCCCTGATTATTGCTGGATCAAGATGGGTGTGACTTTCAATTGAGAAAGCTTTAGTGGACATCATGTTTGCGGGGAGTTGTGTCCACCACTTTTGAGGTGGCTTTGGTTGCCTACTTGAAACTCACGGCCAGATGTCTTTGTAAAGCGAAGTGGCCAATTATTTGTCTTTTTTGTTGTTTCCGGATAACCCCCCAAAAAAAAGTGGTTGTTGGACCTAAAATCCCCGACATGCTGTCCACCCAAGGGTCCCTAGCTAGAATATTCATGAAAAAACACAAAAATTGCACCGGGGACCCGGGACTGAGGCAATGAGACCGAGTGAGGCAATGAGACCGATGCAGCGCCGAGCCTCGAAGGCTCCGAACCGAGAAGCATGCCGCATGTGGTCCACTTGAGTCCGTGCTCAAATCCCCGGGTAGATGAAGGTTAGTAAGGGGCGATCCCAATCATAAATAGGTGCGGATGTCCGCCTTTTTAATCCTGTACATGGTTCTGGGTTCACCATTTTTGTACCGGGTTTTGACTATGACTGACTTGAAGACTTGTGGCTGAGGGAAGGCTCAGAGGTCAACTCCGCTTGTTGTTCCTCCGTTTGTTGAAACTTCTGTCTAGCAATGGTGGTCAAAGATTTGAAGTGGCATATGTTTGCAAGATAAGGTCCACTCTGTTTGTTGTTCCTCCGTTGTTGGTTGAAACTTCTTTCTAGCAATGGTGGTCTAGATTGGCAGATGATTGCAAGATCAGGTGAGATGCCTGGGGTATGCCTTCAACTCCTTCCCAACTCAACTTGCGACCATGTGGCACCCTCCGAAGGCGCAGCTGAACAGCCCTTCTGGGGGCTGTCGGGCTACCAAGGCAGGCACATGCATGCCAAGAAAAACTCGCATGCTGCGATGGAGGGTAGACTCGTTTTACTGGACCGTCGCATTGCCGTGTGGACCCCCAAACAGGTTTGCTGATGATTTCAGAAAGGGTACCCCTTGAAAACGACGAGCAACCATTCAAAACGGCGACGGCATTTCTGCCGGACGCACCTGCAGTCGGCGCAATCCACGACGCGGCACACAAGTTCCACATCAGACTTGTGCCAGGCTGGCCTTGAAGACATGAATGGGTTGTCCAACACCTTTTTGCGGACACAACATGTCGGGGTTGATCAAAAGGAACATTGGGGGAAATCGCGAAAAAGATGAATTTCCCACTGAATGGGAAAGCTACTCTTGGTTACGCCCATGTCTCCTTGTCAAAAGGGGCAATGTTGCAACTGAGGTCCACCAGGTTCGACGATTGCACTGTTCACGCGCCCCTAGGTGGTAAGTCTAATTGGCCGCTGGATAGGTCTTGAGGGCACGTGCGAGTGGAGATGGATTCTGCGACCAGGAGCGAACGAGGCGGCCTGTCACTGCTCGCTCACGCTTCAGCGGAAGTGGAGGCCTGTTTGAGCAGTTTGACAGTGCCTGGGCTCGGAAGTGTCTCCATCTTCCACACAGCAACTTTGTGGTTGCCTGCAGGCGGTCTTGGCGTTGCATGGTCAAGCTGCTCCAATGTGTGCAAATCAAATACATAAGGTAGATGATGAGTGATGAGTGTGTGTGTGTGTGCGTGTAAGATTTGTGTTTGTTTGTGTGCTTGTGTGTGTGTTGCTGGATGGTGTGTGTGTGTGTGTTTGTGGCCTGTTCGTGAGTGCCTGCCTGCTTGCCTGCATGTTTGCGTGTATATCTGTCTGCGTGTGGGCAAGTGTGTTTTCCCCGGTTTTGTATCTGTGTTTTCTGCTTTGTGTGTGTGCGTGTGCTTGTCTCAATTTGTGTGCTTGCGCTTCCGTGTGTTAATTGTGTTTTTGCGTGACTTGCGTATGTTAATAAGCGCGTTGTTGTTTGCGTGTATCTTTGCACGTTGCGCTTGTGTTTGTCTTGTATGTGTTTCGGCTTAAGTTTGCGTGCCTGTTCGGATTTGTTTGGTTGAGGGGTTGTACGCTCATTTCCAATGTGTTGACGTATTCGTTTGTGTGCTTGCTTTTCGTGTGTGTGTGTGTGTCTGTGTGTGTGTCTGTGTGTGTGTCTGTGTGTGTGTGTGTCTGTGTGTGTGTGTGTCTGTGTGTGTGTGTCTGTGTGTGTGTGTGTCTGTGTGTGTGTGTGTGTCTGTGTGTGTGTCTGTGTCTGTGTCTGTGTCTGTCTGTGTCTGTGTCTGTGTCTTTGTGTGTGTGTGTGTTTGCGTGTTTGTGTGTGTGACCTGTGTGTGTGTGTGTGGTTTGTGTGTGTGGGTGTGTATGTTTGTGTGTGTGTGTGTTTGCGTGTTTGGTCTGTGTGTGTGTGTGTCTGTCTGTGTGTGTGTGGGTGTTTATGTCTGTGTCTGTGTGTATTTGTGTGTTTTTGTGTTTTTGTGTGTTTGTTTTAGTGCATTGTTGGTTGCGCCTGCTCCGTTGCATGCGTGCGAAAGGGTGCTCGTCAGTGGGCTGCATGAATTACACACACCTCCGTGCCTCATGGCTTTGCAGGCCGGCCGGCATCTCCATTCACAGCACGTATCGCTTCCCCACGGCTGCCCACGAGCAATTCTCCTGTGGTGTTCCTTGGCTGTAGGGGCAGATGCCCCCCTCTCGTTTGCTTAGAAGACTGGGCGAGGTCGCACCATGGTGTGGAGTGTTCATTTGCAAACAAGTTTGGTTCGCGAAGCATATTGATTTGGCGCCACTTGGCAGTTGGTGGACCCTGTTCATCCATGGGCAAGGTTCGTTGGCATCGCCGGAGATGAGATTACAAGCGTTGCTGTTCACATATGGCTGTGGGTCAAAACCAATGGTACCATTTTGTGGTAGGTGCGCCACCCATTTTAGTCTATTTTAGTGAGGATTGGGATGTTGGGGGTACGGGCTTTTGCCCACAGCCATATATGGGTGGGCATAGCCCCTGCGTGCAGCGGGGTTTCAGATGGTTCCCGTCCATTCTGAGGCGAGCCGTGCGGCCTGCAGACAGACAGGCACAGTGCGGAGAGCAACGGACCTTGTCACCGGTGAAGGATTTTGCGTAGGTACGGTGTTCAGCGCATACGTTTTGCCGATTTTATCGCGAGCTCGCCGATCCGATTATAGCGAGCGAAAGCCATGATAAAGGTCCTTCACTTGGTTCCTTACTTCAGCTTTCGGAATGATAAAGTGGCTCCGTGGAAAGCGCGGATCCGTACTACATGTTGCCATCTGAACTTTTTGCCAAAACTTGGCTGCAGCCGGGGCGACGTCAGGTTGAGAGAGAGAGAGAGAGAGAGAAAACAAA